GTTTCAGTCCATCCATGTTGTTGTAATGAATATGAAAATAAATGACTTATATGAAGTTGGCCACCAAAGATTAGTGCTAGAGCCCCCCCAACTACTCAGATTTCCATTTTTCATTCAGCTAGATTTTGTGATCTGTATAAAAACTGATCCACATTTTTCTTTTTTAAAATTATTTTTGATTATTTTTATTAACACATTGTGTTAATAGAAAATGAAGCCATTGTAAGTTATTAAGAGAAGTGCTGTTTCATGGTTGTTTAGAATATCATGGTGTGTATTTATGCCTTGGGCCAAGAGACCCATTGACTATTTAAAATTCATGTGTTCAGGACATTTGGTATATATTATGTAAAAATAAATCCCTTGGGGAATAAATAATTTGCTTTTAATATTAAAACACTTTATCTTCCTAATTCAAAAGGTTGCTACTAAAAAGCTAAAGCTGAGATTTGCTTAGCTTCTGGATTTTTTTTTTGTGTGTTGTTTTATTGGGAGAAAAAAGGAATTGCCTAATGTTGGAGTAAGCATATGGCCTTCACTTGGGAGCATTCATAAGATTTTAATAGAAAGTGTAAAACATTAAAAATTGGATTTTAGGTGTTACTTTTTTGGCCTTGGTTAGAGGACAAAACAATTAAACAGTAGTTTTAGGAGCACTCCTGATGTGTAATATTTATTTTTATTTGCTGTTCATTTATATTTAGTGCAAGTTGTAAAACTGCACAAGGCTATCAAGTACCAGTAAGTTTAGAAGTGATAATGGGAAATAGCTTTTAATGAAGATTTTTTTAAAGATTCACTTTGAAGTGTATTAAAGACATATTCAGCTGAGTAAAGCAGCATCTATGCAACATAGGCTTAATTCATACATGTTCTTGAAGAAAGAACCCAAAGATCAATACCTGAAAGGGGCCAGATGAATGAAAACACATGGTAGATGAGGCTTGTTTTATACAAGACCAGAGAAGGAATATTTAAAGCTTGGTGACAAATTAATACGGTCTGCTTTACATTTTGCCTACTATAGTAAGGTTACATCTATTTCCAGAATTTTAATCAAAGCCAGTGAAGAAGAAAAATAGGTTTTCAGAAAAAGAAACCTTCAGCAAAATATTGTATTCTCAGTGGGCTATTATCTCTACTTTACAAGGACCTCATCTTTGAGTTTTGTTTTGCAAACTGCATACCTAGCCTATGAAGTTATGTTAAATAATAACATCATGATACTAAAACGCCTTTAGTTTTTGCCTTTAAAAATGTTGGAATATATTTTTAAAAAAGAATAACTGGTTCTTGATACATTTGGCATTTAAAAAAATATATAGTGGAAATCACTCTAGGCTTTTAAAAACAGCATATTGATTTCATGGATATTTGCACATGAAACACGAATAAAGGGTGATCTGAAGTGTAGTCGCTGTTCCCCTTGACAGTGCGGATTGAGGCGGTTGGTCTGGCTGGCTAGGTGAGTGTCCCCTGCTTTTGTCATAACTCCATGTGTCCTTTACCAAAGCTTTGCAAGACATGTGAGAGACATCAAGGACTATGAAAGGACACTTGCAAAACAAAGCAGGATCTTTCTTCGGTCAAGGATAGATAGCAGGGGCAAACTGTGGGGACTGGGCCGGCTGAGTTTAATAACACACACTGAGTAACAAACAGCAAACAACACAGACCTCAGAATCAAGAAGTGGTTGTGACTCTGGGAAACCAGAGAGCTCCTGCTTGGTTAAAATAACCCAACTTCAATCAGTTGCACAAAGGTCTATTGCTGCAGTTTGGTAAAAGTATTTTAGAACTATACTCACCATCACTTTCTTGGGACTTTTTTTTCTCTATTTAATAAATTAAACTGAATTCCTGAAGCCCTAGGGGGCTTTGTACTTATAAATAACGTTATGGCTTTATTGATCAAACGTGGTTAGAATAGCCATAGTTTTCAGTACAGTAAACCTACTGTCAATAACTTACTGATCATAAAGCTAATGTCTTTCATCAATGTCACAGCCTCGGTTTGAATGTATTCCGTTGGAGACCATTATTCGAAGGGGTACCTACTGAGTCACGTAACTGGAAGAGTAATAAAGATGAATGGTATGCACTATCCATTTTCACACTCCAGCGAAGGCACCGGTGGGTACAATTTAAATGCAGTCAGAAGATAAAGGTCATGTAATATAACATGTTTTATACAATGATGAATTATTGTACACTTTGAACAAACTGATTTCTATATTTATTTTGGTTTCTAACTATGTAACAATTTTAAACAAGAGTATTTTCTTTTAATTTTAACCCTTGAATATCTAATTTCTTATATACTGTCAAAGTGAAATAATAATACTGACCTCATTTATGCTCAGTGTTAAAGTGCCTGTGTATTGAATTTAGATTAGAAGGAGATTACACTAGTACTTTCAAGGAAAGTACAGAAGCAGTTTTTAAATGTAACATAAACAAAAATATATATTAGTTATTCTTTTTGTGTTTTTTTTTTATTAAAAATATGTTTCAGTCGGGGGGGAGAGAAAGAGAGAGAGAGAGAGAGAGAGAGAATTAAAAATATGTTTCTATTGACTTCAGAGAGGAAGTCGGGGGGAGAGAAAGAGAGAGAGAGAGAGAGAGAGAGAGAGAGAGACATCAATGATGAGAGAAAATCATTGATTGGCTGCCTCCTGCACGCCGCACATCAGGAATTGAACCTGCAACCAAGGCATGTGCCCTGATTGGGAATTGAACCATGACCTTCTGGTTCATAGATTGATGCTCAACCACTGAGCCAGGCTGGCCAGGCTCTTTGTGTTTTTTCAAGCATTTCCTTTCCTTGACTGTGAAGTGAGTAGCAGCAAACATTCCTTACTCCTGAGCTTGATACCAATTCTGATTCAGCCGAAGGATAAATTGGGAGATTTAGTTCCACCAGGAAGTAGAATGTGATATAATTATGACAGACACTGTCCTGGTAATCTCTGTGCCTGGACAACCAGTGCATCCTTCTGTTGAGGCAGCCCAGGTCGTGGGGTTGGGTTTGTGTCTCTGTGTCTCTAGCACTGCAGTTTCCTGTAGCGCCTGGAACCCAACCCTGAATTCCAGCTGTGAGGCCCAGGCACCAATGACTCCCTTGACTCCCTCATGATTCTCTGTCATCCTTCCTGTACTGCCAGCTACTGGATTGTCATTCCCCTTTGGGCATCATTGGGAAACAGTCTGGTCATTTACGTTCCTATTGGTCTATCTCCCATCCTCTCTATTGACCGTCCTTAGCCTGTGGGCATAAGGGGACTTCTCTATATAACCCTAAACAAAATATATCAATTTATTGGCTACTCTTACAACAGAGTTGAGTATCTAAGGGTCTCACGTGTGGATTTCTCCTCTTCCCCTCTCTAGGTGATACTGAAATCCTAGTGTTTTGTGGTGGAGCCTGTCTGAGATGCCACAATACTTGTATAAGCATTTGGGGTTTTTAAAATTCTTTAGTATCATGATTTGGATCCCAGAGGTACCAGGCAAGTGACTCCCCAGAACATCATACAGCCTCATTTCCACAGCACCGTGTTAGAAAAATGAGCAGCATCACAAGGTCAAAAGTATTTGACAAGGAATTTTTCTCCTTTGCTTAGATCAAAATGGTCTCTAGCCATGAGATATGCTCATGTAGAATTAATTTCTGATTAAAAATGATATGTATGAGTTCTGGTTTTATTTGCCTTCTTGGCAATAAATGTCTCCATAGAGGAGTTAAATACTCAGTTGCTGCAGTATCACCATTGTCCATATTTTGCACAATGGCATCATCACAGTGGGACTCACATTTCTTGTTTCATTTTTGTTCCTTTTCAAACAATTTTATGTCTTATAATACAATGGTCGTTAAAAACTTTGAAGCGTGAATTGAAAGCCTTACAAATTATTATGATGCCTTCAACTGAGAAGGGAAAAAGTGGAAAGCATTAAAAAAAAGGTAGCTCTTGTCTTCAAGTTAAAACGAGGGGTGTGGGCTTAGCATTACAGCACTTCTCCTGGATAATTTAAATAATCGATAGTCATAAAACTGAGCTCAAAGGTGAGTCCTTCTCTGGTACACAGGAGGAGGAGTGATTAGGGTGATTAACTAAAGGCATTTTCTCCAGATTTTATTCTTGGCTCTGGCATAGATTTTATTGCACTTCTTTTCTAAGCCACCATCCACTGTGTTACAAACACATCTCCCTTGTTGTAGCGAGGCAGCTGTGAAATGAAGCATAGTCTCTACTCTGTTGAGGGAGAAAATCATTTTCAAACCTCTTATTTTACATTCTTTTGACATTTGGGTAAAAACAGTCTACACCCCCTGGAAATTATTGTTTTTCAGTTTCATTTTCAGACCTGATCTCTGCTTTCCATACTCACACACAATCGCATTCCACATTCTGAAGATTATTGAAGGTACTTCTCACTGACCCTTAAAATACATTCTTCAAATCTTGTTTTTTTTCTTGAGTAATGTCATCTCTATCTCCAGCATATACTAATGGGTGGAATAGTCAAAGATATTTGCCTAAAAATAAGTTAGTCTTGAAAGCTACTTGATGTTGTTCAGATGATATGAACTGGCATTTAAAAAATGTAGTACGTTAATGGGCACGTAAGTGAAAATTTGTTAAACTAGCTGTCTTAGGACAGGATGGATTGTGCTGCAGTAACAAATGAGCCCTGGAATCCTGTTGAAGATATACAACAAAGGTTAAAGATGAAAATAGATTTGTGTAATGATTACAAAAACTGTTTTGGCTCAGGCAACTCTCTAGGAAAGCTCCTTTCTCTGTGGTGACCCAGAAACACGGGCCATTTGCTTCTGGTGGTCCTTCCATTTCAGCACCTGGCTTCCATGGTTGGTTCTTAAAGAGAAGATAGGCTATTGAAGGCCACAGGTAGGAAGTGGTCTATATTACTTCCACTTACAGTTCAGTGCCTAAAACTGGCTTTATCAACCTGGGCACAACGGTATGTTGGGCTAATTCTTTTTTTTTTCCAGGTTCATAATTTATTATATAAATTGAGTATCACATGATGAGTTGACATTAGCTTCTCCAGGCATGGGAAATTAACAGATGAGGTACAGTTTATAATCTTTTCATGTTGCTTTCACAGCTGGAGTTTTTTTGGACCTTAACTTGAAGTATAAAACCAGCAAAGCAATGCTTCCATGTGTGGCCATTACACAATTCATTCTACCTGTGATAGTATAAGAGTTGAAATACTTTTTGATACCAGTGAACTGGAATTGGGCATCAGCTTCTGGACCTGCCATGATTTCAATCTTGCTAAAAAGCTGAGCTGACTAATTCTTTATTGTCGACTGACTGTCCTGTGCATGGTGGGAATGTATAGCAGCATCCCTGGCTTTTTCACACCACATGCCAGTAGACCTCCGACAGCTGTGATAAGCAAAGGTACCTTTAGACATGTTCCCTGGTGCTGGTGGGGTAGGGAGGAAGCAAAATTGCTCTCAGTTGAAAACCATGGAGCCAGAACTGCTCATTTAGCTGTAATGGAAAGACTTGGGAGAAAATGGTCTTCTTGTGTTTATTAGAAGAAGAGGAGAACTAGATGTGGATATGCACTAGTCATTAGCTAATGGAAATAGAAACCTTTAGTCATTTTACTTTAAACACATGTGAAAATGTTACTATAATTTTGGCATAAAACACATACTATTACATGTCCAAAGTAAACTGAACACTTCTTAAGTGTTAATTTGATTTTATTAACTGTAAAAAGAAACATTAACAGTGAAAATACATTGAAAAGATTATTAAAGAAGTTGAGATTATAATTATTGTATTTGATGACAAGAGGCTTAAAACAAATATTAGCTATATTGTAAATATGACTGTTTAGAGAACAAATTAGTGTTACTGTGAAAACTTGTTTAGCATCTCTGAGCATATGTTTAATGTTGAAAATAATTTTTTAGTAGACATTTCTGGAATAGATTAATTCAATGTATACTTGTTCATACACGTCGAGTTTGGAAATTTGTTTTGTAAATGTGTTGCTAAATTGCATATTTTAGTTATGGATTAAATAAAATATATTAATCATATGGTAATTAGTCAAAATCCTTCCAGTTACAGGGATAGAAACCTGGTGAAACCATCTTCTGGGAAAGATAGAAGGAAGAGAGAAGGAAAGGGGAAGAAAGAGGGAAAGAGAGGTGAGGAAAGAGATGGATTTATTAGAAGGAACTTCTATTGTATAATAACAAAGGACTGTTTTTTGTTCATGTCACATTCTGGTTGTGGCTCTGCTCCATCTATATTCTCATTCTGGGACCTGGGGATCTCCTATCTCAATCTTTCGGAAGAAGAAAAAAACAACATAAAACCAGTTGGTGGTTCTTAAAGTTCCTACTTGGATGTATCATAAAAAACAAGCCAAGAGGCCAAGCTTGATGTCAATGAGTGAAGGAAGTATCACCTCTCATAAGGAGGTACTGTTATATTATAAATCAGCGAGCTGAACATAAGATGCCTCAATAAGCCAAATTAACTTGGAGTCTTTTATTATGCTCGCGGGCTCAGAGGAATATTGCTTCCAGGGTCTGAGCAAAAACATGGAGGACGTTTTCCCTTTTTATATTTTTCTAATGTCTTTGTCCCCTAAATATGGGGCTTCCAGTCCCTTTTGCAAGTTTTCAAAGAGCCCTATGCATGCTTAGTAGATATCTTGCAGGAAACTTGCAGCCTTGAGTACAACACAGTTCAGTAGCCTTGAGTACAGCTAACTAAACGACACCTGGTATGGGGGTAGCTAGAGACGGCAGCAGAGCGGCTTGCAAGATCAGAGTGTTGGGCTTATTTTCCCTATCATTAGAGCAAGCGCATTTTACAGAAGCCAATAATAGCAGAATTAATTCACAGAACAAAGGACTGTCTATGTCTAGTGGACATTTCAAACAGCAGTTTTTATAAAATAGAGGTTACTGTGCTTCAGAACTGCAAGCAACATGACCATTGGAGGACATAGAGTCCTCTAATATGGAGGGCAACAGATCATTGTGAACAGTAATAGAATCACCAGAGATGTTGAGATGGATTCCTGAGGATGGGGATAGGCCTCAAACTGGGGGCACAATTGTAACCATCTCTGCTTTTTTCTGTTTTAGAGGTATTCTTCCTAAATTTGGAAAGCAGGATGAAGTCAATAGCAATCCTAGGTTACACTTCTCTTATTGGTAACAAAAAAGAGAACTTCTGTCCTGGGATTAGTTCTGAACACCCCTGGTGGGCTTATTTGTTGGAAGGAGATTTTGGCCTGGTACTGGCACAAGAACAGACATATAGATCAATGGAATAGAATAGAGAATCCAGAAATCGACCCAAACCACTATGCTCAATTAATATTTGACAAAGGAGGCAAGAACATACAATGGAGTCAAGACAGTCTCTTCGGAAAACTGGACAGATATATGCAAAAAAAATGAAACTAGACCAGCAACTTACACCATACACAAAAATAAACTGAAAATGAATAAAGGACTTAAACATAAGATGGGAAACCATAAAATTAGAGGAATCCACAGGCAACAAAATCTCACACATATGCCGAAGCAATATCTTCACTGATACAGCTCCTAGGGCAATGGTGGATAAAGAGAAAATAAGCAAATGGGACTACATCAAAATAAAAAGCTTTTGTACAGCAAAGAAACCATCAACAAAACAACAAGAAAGCCCACTGCATGTGAGAACATATTTGCCAATGTTATCACCAATAAGGGTTTAATCTCCAACATTTATAGAGAACTCATACCTCTTGCCAAAAGGAAGATGAACAACCCAATCAAAAAATGGGCAATGGACCTAAATAGATACTTTTCTAAAGAAGACATAAGGAAGGACAAGAGACATATGAAAACATGCTCAAAGTCACTAATCATCTGAGAGATGCAAATTAAAACGACACTGCGGTATCATCTCACACCTGTCAGAATGGCTATTATTAACAAATCAACAAACAGCAAGTGCTGGTGAGGATGCGGTGAAAAAGGAACCCTTGTGCACTGCTGGTGGGAATGCAGACTGGTGCAGCCACTGTGGAAGACAGTATGGATTTTCCTCAAAAAACTGGAAATGGAACTCCCATTTGACCCTGTGATCCCACTTCTAGGAATATATCCCAAGAAACCAAAAAC